CAGGTTACAGGCTACAAATGGTCTGGTGGCGGAAGCCGGGAAGGACCCAGCCCCCACACATGGGGCGTGCACTCTACCAGGACCTCTTTTAATTAGATTTATACTGAATTAGTGAATACATTTTTACAAAGTGTTACAGACTACAGCACAAAGCTTCATGCAGACACAAAAGCTTCGCTGCAGCTTTAGTATCACAGCATATCTCAAATATGTATCTTGCACAATCTTAGATGGGAAACCTTCGTATTGCACACTGAAACCTCGGAAAGCATCCATCCTTGTTCCACCGTGTTTCATAAAGGTGTAAGTGTTTCTGTGACCTTACAGCGTGGAGGTTACAGTTGGCAGTGTTGACAGAGGAACGTATCTCCTCGTGTCAGTTTGGGACGTGTGGCTGAAAATGCTGTTGACTGGAATACCCAGCTGGCCTGCTTGCCCTGACCCCGCCTCAGAATTTACACCATAGGGCACCTTGGACGTAATGGCTAAACTTAATTTGAAAAGCACATTAAGGAGAGCCACACGGTACTCTTTTCTAACCAGGCAGTAGATGATGGGGTTGAAGCAGCTGCTGGTGAAAGCCAGACAGTTGGCCAGAGGGAAAAAGTACGCTTGAGCCGAGTAGAACGAGGGGCTGATATCAACCACGTCAAAATGAATCAGGGCTCTCCAAACCGTGAGGATGTTGTATGGGAACCAGCAGGCCCAGAAGGAAAACACCACCACTGCCACTGACTTTGAAATATCAGTCTTTCGCCGAGTGTTGCTGCCTTTCAGTTTATGCCGACAGAGGAAGCGCATCAGAAGCAGGTAGGAGAGGATGATAATGGTGTAGGGCAGCAGAAATCCCAGCACAACTCGCAGGAGGTGGTTTACTTCAAGCCATGTTGTAACAGGGAAACGGAGCAGGCATATTGTGTCGTTGCCAAGGCCCACATTTTTCAGTTCCGCAAACACGGCTCGGGGTACGGCCAAAATGAGCGCTCCGGCCCAAATAAAAGCTGTGGCCAGCGGGAAAGTCCAGGATCTGCTGCAGAAGGAAGCGCCTGGTTTGAGAGCAGTTGCCACATAGCAGTAACGAGTCAAACTCATAGCTGTGAGGAAAAAGCAACTAGCAAACACATTCAGCCCAGTGAATAGGGACACGGCCTTACATGTGCCCAAGCCAAAGGGCCAGCTATAGTCCAGCGCAGTATCAACAGCCCAAAATGGTAACGCCAGCGAAAACATTAGCTGAGCCACAGCTAAGTTAAAAACAAAGAAATTGATATTGCCTGTGGTGATGGTGTGAGTAGAGTAGAGGAGGAACATTACTAACAAGTTCCCCAGTATTCCAGCTGTAGCCACAATAAAGTAGACCACAGAGATGACAATCCTTAGCCAGTGGGGAGGATTAGGAAACTCCAGCCAGTTGTAAATACTCATATTTTGAAAAATCAGCTCAGAGTTGTTACAGAATGTGCCTGAACCGCAACTGCTCATGATGCTTTTGTAGAGCTCAAGTCTGTGCAAGTCAATGTTTGACATTTTGTCAAAGGGAAGGTGAAGTTTGTCCTGAAGATGGCGAGATGTGTCCGCTTGTCCTCTTTTTAACTACAATAAATTAAAAATGTAAGTCTTGGCAGTCTGTTTATTAGATGACAATCATCTGTCCCTGCAAGGAAAGAGGAAGTTATTACTGCATAATAGGCGCTGGAGTTTATGAGCAAATAAGTAGATTAGCTCTGTCAGATAAACAAATTACACTTAAGTGTTAGCCACAGAGTTCAGAAAAGCCCCAGAATTAGTTTGTAATGGCGCAGTTATTCTTGTATGAAATAAAAGTTATTTTTGACAACAGCCAAATAGATTCACATTGCTTATGTTCCCGATAAGTGCTCGATTTATTAGTAAATCACTTATCAGTTATCTTGGAGATAACAGATGTGTTGCAAGTGTTGCTTGATGAAGACATATTCCTTTTGAATTTTACAAATTTTAAGCTGCAGCATGAGATGACCTCAATATGTGAATAATACTGGGACCCTGAGACGGTCAAAGCCAGAAAAGCCCCTCGGATGAACAAGGATTTCTTTTTAAACAAAAATAAGTTCTTATTTTTTTAATAAAATTTCTTTTCAACTTTTCAAGTGCAGTAATTTATTTCATGTGTGTAACAGATCAACAGATCTCCTGGAGACCTGTTATTTGTGAGCGAAAAGGAAAAAATTCTTTCAAACATAAGAATCAAAATGTTTTTTACATTAAAATACACTCCTGGATTTAATTTTTTGTTGTTGTTTAGTTTTAGAATGAATTTCTTATAGCTTTAGAGGAATTAATTGTTCGAGTACTTTAATTACATAGACATATATACCAGTACATCATCATCTAAAAACATTTTCACTTGAAAAATCATGGCATCAACCTTCAGAGGTAAACTGTCTCGCATGCACAGGGTTTTTTCCAACTTCAGAAAAGTATGTTCTGTGTAGCGTGATTTCACACTAATCTACAGGCTGTAGCATGTGGTCTGTGTTGGCAAACATTACAAAGCATCGCTATCAGTGTTATACGGGGTAAAATAAATATTTTCACATTTGCATTTAAACATTTTAAAAACGTAAGTTTATTTTTTTTAAGTTTTCTTGATAACCAGAACATTTTTTCACCACAGGCGGCTTTAAAAACAAAAACAAAAACATCTGCCATCTTTTAAACCGTCCCCTTTACAAGCTGCGGGGCGAACACAACATGTTTCTATGCTTTTTAAAACATTATCCTTTTTTTGTAATATGTGTATTGCTACACGACATCTCTTCATTCTCCTCTTTCCATTTTTTGTCTGCCAACACCTGATTTCCAATCTTTCTATGTGTTTCATTCGATCTAATATGTTATATCAGGGTAGATAATCATATTGGTAAATAGACTGTAGTGTGAAGAATTAATGAAACTGTTCGCTGTATATATACAAAAAAATATTTTACTTACATTATAATCAACTTGGATTTGTTTTTTGTCGATTAAAATATGATTATTGAACTGTGAGTTTTAGTTGCTACAGTTTCTGTCGCCCTCTTGGCTAAATCTGTTTTTAAAAATAAACTTTTAATGTCAGTGAGACTTTTGATGGATACATAAATAATATCTAACAACCACTTTGTCCAGAAAAAGCTTTCACTTTTTGATAGGAATGGTCCTTCTTGCTCAAAATGACACGATATCATTCATAAGAGATTTGTTTGAAATATTTTCGTTCGATCAAGCGTTTAATTTCATTAAGTTTTGGGGGAAATGCCGGGAAATACTTTTTGGCACAACACTGGAACGTTGTCAAGTCGAAAACGAGGAAACGTTAGTTACCTTACCGATAACTAACGTTTAACAGTGTGACTGTAGCTTCGGTCTTTCTCCACGAGCGTTGGTTTTACATGTGAACATAGCCGAAGCCACAGCACAGCCATCCTTTAACGTGTGTGAACGGGGATTTGTAATCAGCTGGCTGATGTGAGTAAGCAGGAGAGAAGCAGACAGATGTAACGCGTTTCCCTGTTCTTGTGAGGAGTTTACTTTTAAATAAAAGTTATAAACACTGGCACAGTGCCAAGCTTACATTTATATCTAAACTTAACCTTATCCCGAGCCCTAACCATAACCTTTTTCCTGACTTTAACCAGGACTATAATGATGTTAAATAGCGTGTTTCTAAGCGATTTGAAAAAAAAAAGGAGCGAACATGTGTAGATTGAGTCCATACGGTTCTCACATTTACTAATTTTTCCGAGGTCGTCGTTTAGGAACATGGTGGGTAGCCGAAAACGTAATATGTTGACGATTTGTCACCTAGCGTAAAATGTTACGCTTTGGGAGTGAGAACGTGTTGTTATATCCCACCTTGCAACTGAAAAGGGTATAATAAAACACAAAGACTGTGTTTGATTACGGTATAATCCAGTTTAGCTTGTTATAAAGTTTCTACCCACAACCCTTCATGAATAAAAATAAAATTTACATAAATATATCTTACCCGACTATCAAAAGGTGGCAGGTCTTCAGCAGGTTTTTGTAGCCTCTGTTGCATCGTGCCAGACAACAGCAAGAATGTCCATGCAACCCACTCTGAGTGCATGCAGCTCCACCCCATTCTGTTTTTCAGTTTGCATATTCAGAATCAGCTAAAAAGTTCGAAACACTAAGAAACTTCCCTTCCACGCGAAGTCAAACTGCAGAAGCTCCACACATACCTAAATGGACATAAATGACCCTGATCCTATGTGCTAATTTAGAGCAAGGAATATTCTTTAAGATGATAGGATAAACCACTGAGTCTTCGCCAACTTGCATATATATGCAAGTGTATCATAGTAGATACACTTACACTTTAGTAGTATTTATAGTACTTACTTATTGAGTAATTCTTGTTTGACTGGTTTCAAAAGACATTGATTGTAAAGTAAAGAAGCAAGAACTGAGACATGCTTATAAACTTGAATTTTTATTTCTTACACTGTCTTTTAATTTGTAAATTGATTTATTAATTTCACTACAAAAACTTCTGAATAACAGATTTTATAAAACATAAAATCCACATTTAGATTTCTTGAGAAAAAAGTAATGACATTTCAATTATTCAGTTCTTGCTTTACTACATTTTAGCATTTAGACATTTCTTACTTGCTATCCTTTTCTAAAGCAACAGTATATAGACCATACGGTAGTTCTTGATTTCGCTCCAAAGGCTACAATTTTCCTGTAAATTTCTCCCACAGAATCCTATAACATTGAATGATTAATCTTCCTCTAAGGATCTTTGCAAGGATAACAGGTAACAGTGTGTTTGACATATTGATTATGAACACAAGATTATGAACACAAAAGTACAACAGCACCAATTTGTATTCTTGTTTTTTCTTCTATTTATATCCGAGTCATTGCTTGGAGATTAGATTGAGCAGCCGAGATGACTCTTTGTTACAAATTGTTGATAGTGGAAGGAACATCAGCAGTGACCTACGAAATGAGATTAGGTGGGAAAAAGCGGAAGAGTGGGGAAATTGATTTATGCTGCTCTGTCTAAGCTGAGGCATCGCTATAAACTGGCTGAACAAAACAAGCAGCTCTCAGTGTTCCTATTTTTACTGCCAGCAACAGGTTTTCAGGAACTGCATGCTAATTCCAGCCCGTGTACTTTCCTCAGTGACCGGTCTTTATCTTAATAATGCGACAATAGAAGAGGATTCTGAGCAGTGTGAGAACCTTGCAAACAATATTTTGAAAAAACTCAAATAGCAGATTAGTTATTGTCCAGGGCTGGTCTATAATAATCTCCAAAGCTGTGCAGTTATTATGTTCTGTGTTCTTATTAAACTGCATTAAACACAAATGATGAAAACATTGGGTTATGGTTTTGTGAATTATATGCTGTGCTATCATTTGAGCTTTAGCTGTTAGATGGACTTTAACATTTACCAGAGCCAGGCTAAAAGTTTCATCCTGTTTGCAGACATTGCACTAAACTAAGCTTAAGCAATCCCCTGAAATTTCCTGATAATTTCCTGCAGATCTTGTATCGTCGGAAGAATGTGAGTATTTCCAAATCTGAAAATATTTATCTAACTGAGTGTTTCAGGCGGGCCTCCAAAGCAGTAACTAAACATGGTAATAAATCACTCTTCCCAGTGTCAAACAAGCAAAACAGATACCCAGATGTGATAAATACACTTAAATGTAGTTCAATGGGATTTGCTTATTAATTCCCACAGTTGGCTCAGTGGTGCCATAAATCTAGGACTATTTAAGTGTATGGATCCCACCTACACCACAATGGTGTGTCCCTCTCTGAGCGTGCCAGCTGAGTTGCCTCAGGGAGCACAAAGGTCTGTGGGCAGAATGAGACATTTGCAATAAATGCAAAGTATACCAAGAAAAAAAAATCAAATTTAAAAACTAAACTTGAGGTATTGTAGTGACCATAAAAAGTTGTTTTAGTGATCAGATAGTAGGAGAAAAAAAACCACCACCACCACCACCACCACACACACATAAAACATATTAAGAATTGTACATTAACATAAAACTGTTGTCGGAACCATACTGAATTTCACCAGAGAAACACACACACACACATGAAGAGAGAGAGAGTATGCATAGTATGCAAACAGCTACCAAACAGCCATCATAATTCATCATACAATGAGAACAGAACAAATCGACAAATGACAATGACTAATTAATATTAAAATCTGTAACATAATGTATTGTTTGGAGTTTAGTCTGTTACTGTTACTATTTTTACCATTTCTTCTTGGAGCAACTGTAACCCACATAATTTCCTTAGGGATTAATAAAGTATTCTGATTCTGATTCTGATTGTTTCAGGATACATACATTATCCAATGACACATCTGCTTACCTGTATCTTTTGCTCGTTTCTCCTCCTCTTCTTTTCTCTTTTTTCTAAACTGAAGACATGATGGCTTTGAATTTTTCTTGTCCATCTTCCATTGGTTTAAAATTTGCACTCCAGTATGAACACCAATCCCCCAACTCAGGGATCACCACAACATAACCTAATAAACCTACACCTTACTTAGTCCATAGATTCGCTTTGTCTATGGTTTATTTCTGGGATTTCGCACAACCCAGGATTCAAATCATGAATACATAATGGGCTTGGATTTACATCATTATGAATGAAATGTGCTCTACTTGGAAGCAGCAGGGCTCTCCTCCCCCTTCGACGGGTTGTGTGTGAGACTTTAAATCATCAAACTGTAGTCAAGTCAAGTCAAGTCAAGTTTATTTATAAAGCACATTTAAAAACAACCAAGGCTGACCAAAGTGCTGTACAATAAAATACAAATATAAAATA